TTCTCAGTACATTTGTTGAGAAAACTCTCCCTTCCCCATTAATGTTGGCACTCTTGTCAAAGCCATCAGACCGTCTGTGTGAGGGCTATTTCTGGGCTCTAATCCATCCCGTTGGCTGAGATGCCCATCCGGAAGCCAGCCCCACACAGCTTTGGTCACTGCAGCCCTGCAGGAGGCTTGCAGCTGGACAGGGTAGTGCTCCAGACCTGCTCTTCTTCTTTAGGGCTGTTTGAGCTGTTCAGGGTTCCTTGAGGCGCCATACGAATCTTAGGACACATTAGTCTATTTCTGCAAAACAAGCCAATGAGACTGATAGAAATTACACTGAACCTCCAATTCCAGAAAAAAATCCACCATCAGGCCTCCCCGGTGGTGCAAGAGGTTAAGCAGAGAATTGTGAAGCTGTCCGCAGCCTCTGCAGCACCAGTTCAAGCCCCGGCCAGGGAGCTACCCACACAGTGCAGCAGACCTCTCCTGTCTCGCCCGCTGCTCCCCTCAGCAGTGCATTTCAGTCAGTCTGCCTGTTCTGCTCCCCACTCTGTCTCTGGGGAATTCTCTCACCCTCCATACCTCTGGTCTGTACCCCAATTCTTGTATGCATCAATAAATAAATGTTAAAAAAGGACACATCACTCCCCCAAATCCAAAATGCCTTTGACTGCTGAGGTGCTGGGGACGTTAAGAGCTTAAGTCAGCTGCAATCTCAGTCACCAGGTCTTACTGCCTCTCTGAACCCCAGCCCAGGTGCGCCCCTTCTGTCGACACATCCGGGCTTTCTGAGGTGGCACCTCATAGCCACATTCTGCCAAGTGGTTTGAGACAAAGGTGTCTCTGGACAAGACTCAGGCAGGGCTGGCGATCGGCAGAGCACCCACATGTCGCAGGAGGACGTAGCTGGGTCTTCCCGGGCCTCCTGCCCGTGTTCCCCCCCACATACACAGTGACCACGTGGTCACTGGGGCGCAGTCCAGGAAAGCTGCAGGTGCCCCAGGGTCCACCACGGGAAGGCCCAGCGGCTAGTGCTGGGCGGTTGTCTCCTGGCTTCCCCACAGCTTCCTCCCCTCTCAGACTTCACAGGACTCAAGCTGGAGCCTTGCTCTGGGTCAGGTGCGGCTGGAATGGCCTGGTCTGGTCTCTCCAGAGCCCCACCCTCCTCGTCGGCGCTGGGACTGTCCCTGGCCTGAGTGGCCCTGCCGCGGCCTCACCCCACCTCCCCCAAGGGCCTCTTCTCGTTCCCCTCTCGGCTGCCTGGTGCGAGAGGCCTGGCTCCTGGCCCGCCTGGCTCTCGGGGCGCCTGCCCTGAGCTGTCACCAGGGCTTGTGGTTGGCTGAAGACGGGCTGCCCTTCAGCACAGACACGCAGAGCTCCCGCACTTACTCGCTGCGCTGGCTCAGGGAGCAGGGAGGTCCTGGAACGGGGGCGAGGCATGGGGGGTGGTGAAGCCACACCCTTATCAATAAAGGCACTGTCTTCTGGGGGGGCCCCAATCAGAGCAGCAACACCAAAAACCACTGGCCCAGACCGCATAGGAGGGAGTCCGCACGCAGCCGCTGCTCAGCACAGGCCGAGCGAGCACGTGCTGCCAGCAGCCGTTGGGGACGGGACACAGGGCGGCCGGCACCTGGCCATCTGTAGGCCAGGGAGCACCCGGCCACCTGGCCCCCAGCGAGGCATGGGACACCCCCAGGCGCCCCGACACCTCTCGTGTCTCCCTGCTCCCTCCGGGGCTCCCCGCGGGCCTGGCTCTCGGGTCTGTGCATCTGGAGTGGGGCGGTGGGCTCGCCGCGGCATTCACCCAGCTTTCTGGAGTTTTAGTCCAAGGTGGGAGTCTTTCAGCCACTGCTTCTTCACAGGCCCAGCCCCTCCCAGGAGCCCCCTCGCAGAGGCCCCCCCTCAGCAGGTCCCCGCCACCTCCCGCCTCTCCTGCTCTCTCTCACCATTTCCACACTGCCTCACCCCCCCGGCTTGTGGGCAGTCCAGCCCCAGCCCCAGCCCCCCAGCAGCCCGCACGCCAGCTGAACGGGCCTTTAAGCTGAAAGACCTCGCAGGCCTCCCTGCTGTCCCACCCGACGGCAGCTGGGGTACCAGGCCCTCCGTGGGGGTTGCTTTTTCTGGAGTGGGTCCCACGTTCGCGTTTCTTCCTGTTCTTGTGACTCACCACTGAGGATCGGACAATTACTCAACGTGTAACTGGAAGTCAGACCCCCTCCCGGTTGCTGTTTCAGGGGTTTCTCTCTGGCCCGTCTGCGAGGCCTCCCCGCGGCATGTCCTCACCCTGACTCCCACCCCTCACAGGCGCCGAAGGCCCCGCCCCGCGAGCAGGTGCTGTGACCCAGAGGTTGGGCAGGCAGGCTTCTGGACTCAGACCCACATGCTGACCGGGGACCCCAGCAGGGACCCAACACCGCCCTCTGGAATAGTTCCCAAGAATCGGGGATTCACAAGGGAGAAGGGCAGGCGCCAGCGTCCCTACTCAAGAAGGTCTGAAACCCCAGGGTCTCTCCTCCCACCTCACCCGTCCCTGCCGTCCAGGAAGGCGCCACCCACAGGAAGCGTGGGGCAGGGGCACGGCTGCAGCGTGGCCATGGGCAGCTCTGGGAAGCCGGCCTGCTCGAGGCGGGACTGATGCCTCCCCGCCTCCTCCAGTGCACCGTTTCGCCGTGCCCCAGGCGGCCAGTGCCCTGAGCAGACAACCCTGAGAGCCAGTGGCTCTCTTGGGTCTGCTGCCACTCAATCCTCACCCCGTCTGCCAGCACGGGCCAGCAGCCCAGCCCACATCACCCCGCGGCTGCTGCCTCCTCCCTGTGCCAGGAACTTTGGCCCGGCCAAGACGAGCCTGTCCACACGCAGCTTCCTCCGGCGGGGACGCCAGAGGCCCCGTGCTCCGGGAGACACAGGACAGCTGCACTCACTCACCATGGGCCGCAGTAGGGTCTGGGCATTCGAGGCGGGCAGCACGCAAGGCCCCCACAGTGGCGGGGACACCCCATACCCTACAGCTGGGCCCAGGCACCTTGAGGAGGCGGCAGGGTGAGGCGGGGTGGCTGCTGCCCACCCCGGCGAGGAGTGGTGGCCCCAGTGGCCCCGCGAGACGTGTCCAGGGGCCCGGGGCGGGGGGTGCGCTGGAGGCGGTGGGGACCGGCCCGGAGAGGAGTGAAGGGAAGCTCCAGCATTCCACGAGGAGCCGCCCCTGAAAGGCCCCCAGGCAGAAGCGGCCTGGGCCAGCTCTGTGCTGCCCATGTCCCGGCGGGGCCCGTGGGGGGCTGCACTGCCCGCTTGGTCTGGGGCCCCTGCTCCCCGCAGCCCCTGGCTTGCCTGTGCCCCAACGGCAAACCTGCCTGAGGCTTCCCCGCAGCCAGGCCAGGTGCAGCCTCACCTGGCCAGGTGGGGAGCTGCCCGGTCCCTCAGCCCTTCACTCGCCAGGGCTCAGCACCCCTGGTGCCCGTTTCCTCTGAGACACACTCCTGCCCCCGAACGGCTAGCACCGGCCCGCGGCACGGATCTGTGCTCCTGCCAGACCGCTCCGGGGTGACTGGACCATTTTAAGCTGGCGGAGGGCGGCCGGGAGTTCTGTCCTGGTGACGCGTCGTCCTTCCCACCGGCTCACTTGGCGTCACTGTGACAACCTTCCACGAAACAGCGAGTTCTGGATCGCGGGCCAGGCTGCACGGGCACAGGCGGGGGCGGCTTCTCTCGGCCCTACGAAGCCAAAACTGCAACTGCGGCTTTTATTGACCAGCGCGCAGAGGCCATGGGCTGACCGGGGTGTTCTGGACGTGCTTTGCTGTATACTGAACAGCACAACTTCCCAGAAAAAACCACTGGTGTCACAAACGCTGGGATCTAGAAGATTCCTGAAAGTCTGCACTTTGTGGCTAGGGCCAGCAGCATGCCGTCTTCAAAGACCAGGAGCCACCTGCTCCCTGGGGGCGCCCCCCACCCCGGCCAGGATGCCCCCTCCTGCCAGGTGCTCTCCGGCTGCGCAGCCTGATTTCCAGTTGGTCCCACGTCCTCGAGTTGCTGTGCTAGGACATCCAGTCACTACGTATTGCTCACATGACCACGGGTTCGCCAGGAAGGACAGAGCTGGGGACCAGCCGAGGTGCAAAGGTGTCCCAGTGCCCACCACCCCCGAAATCCACACGGCCCCACCCACCCCGAAGCTCCCTGAAAAGGCCAAGGAACCAAAGCTCAAGTCCTTGCAGAGAAACCGCAGCCGACGGGGGGTCTAGCCCCTGGGGAGTCCCACTCAGTGTGCGTAGCAGAGAAAACCCACCCAAATAAAACCGCCGTACGCAGGGCGCCTCTCATCCCCCTGCCCCTGTGCCAGTTGGGAGCGGCAGCCCCACAGTACCCTCAGGGCACACAGCCCATCTCGTTCCTTCTACTGGCCCCCACGCAGCCTTTGCCAGTGCCCCGCCCTCGTCCTCCAGTCCACCGAGAGTGACCTCGCGAAATGCCTCAGATCCTGAAGGCTTGGGGGTAACCAGGCCTCCTGGTCTGAAGGCGGAGCCCGTGGCACATGGCTTTGGGCACACGGCAGGGAGGAACAGTTCAGCAGCGCAGGGAGCGGCGGCCCGCACCGACCACGTTACTTCCCGTTGCTGGCGGGAACGCCTCTCCCAGGAAAGCACGACCCTGAAGCGAACAAGCTGACCTACCCCAGCCACGGCGGGCGTGTAGCCACCCACCTGGATCGCACACTCCCAGGCCGAGACCCCGCCCCACAGCACGGGGACCAGGCCGGGCCCCCAGCCAGGACAAAAATCACCCCACAGCCAGGCCTGCTGCCTGCCTGGCCCCGCCCCTCGGGGCCCCCTGGTGTGTACCCGCCTTTCTGGCCCCTGCCTCACCGCCCCACTACGGACAGACCCAAGCCCTGTCTGTACCTGCTCCCCCCACTCTGGAACATTTCTGGAGGGTGGGCGGGGCCACCCAGAGAAGGCTGCAGGGCACTGCCTGGATGCCCAGAGCCAGGAGCTTGCAGCGCCACTCCGGGCACCACGCCCACCAGGAAGGTGGTGGGGGCACTGGCCCGGCCCGGGGTGGGGGCGGCTCACTCCTGGGACCATCCCCAAAGCACAGCCCCGCCAGCCTCCCCAACTGGCTGAGCTGTCTCAGCTCCCAGCTCCACAGGTCAAGGGGGTGGCGCTAGGGCGGAGCCGCCAAGAGAAGGTCTCGCCACCGGGCTCACGGGTTTGCTTTATTTCCTCCCGTTGCCCAAGCAGCCAGCCCCGCCCCTGGGCGCACGCAGCCACCCTTCACACCCTGCCGCCTTCACACCCAGCCCCCAGCCACCATGTGAACCCCTAGGGCCTCAGGGCGCGGGCCCACCCTGCTCCCAAAGTCAGTCATGCCACCCCTTCCCGCGGCGACCGCCCCCCTTCCCATCCGAGCCTCCCCATCTCAATCCGGGAGTGGGGGCCCTGCTCCAGCGGTCCCCTGGAGACTCCTGGGGGAGAGGTCAGCGTCTGCTCGCGCTGGGGTCGTCTCCCTCTGTGGCAGCCACCGGCTCCGGAACCCTCCGGGCCCTGCTCTCCTTCTTCCTCTTGTAGGCGGCCACCTGCTGGCTCAGCAGCTCATGGTCGAGCCCGCACAGACCGGTGTGCGCTGGGGAGCCCCGAGCCTCACGTGGCCTCGGGCCCTTGGTGTCCCTGGAAGGGAGAAGAGGAGCCTTTACCTCCAGCTCCAATGGGCTCCGGTGAGCAGCGGGGGCCAGCCCATCTTGCACCCCCAGAGAGCCCTGACAGCTGGTAAGGGAAGGTTCTTGAGCCGCCGGACCACAGGGTTCCGTGAGGTAGGAAGCACGCGGCAGCACTCAGTCGGTGACAGGACCGTGGTGGGCACCTGGCAGCAAACCACGCCGACATCCAGCTGCCCCCCTTTGCTGCCCGCGGCCTCCCACCGGGGATGCTCCAGCTGTGCAGTGGGCTCCCCGCTGGCCTGGCCTCTGTGCCAGCCCAGGGCTCCAGGCCGCCGAGGTGTAGCCAGCCACCGTGGCCAGGGGGATCACACCTGGCACCTGCCCCTCAAGACTGCCTGCCCGACCTCCCTCCCCGAAGGTGTTATGCACGCCCCATTCCTCGAGGCACGCCATGGCATTCAGGCTTAAAATTGCAGCACTGTCCCCCCAACACCCCTCTGCCTAATAACACCCACCACTTCCCAAGGCAGCCCGGGGCGCCCTGGCCGGAGCTGGGTCCTGGCCAGTAGGAGGCACCAGCAGCACAGGCCGCGCAGTGGAGGCTGCGGAGAGTGGCCTCTCCCAGCCTGGCGAACTGCAGAGGCCACAGGCCTCGGGGCTCCTGGGGGCGCACCTGGCTACCCTCCGAGGAGGCACGCAGCCACCGGCTCACCTCAAGTCCTGCAGCGGGTCTTCCTTCCCACCTGGGGGTCCAAAGTCAGCGGCTCTCAGTAAAAGATCAACCTGAAGAGGAAGACAAGGGGCAGAGCGGCTGGTGCCATGCAGGCCTGAGCCCGGCCAGGGGTGATGCCCCATTTCCTGACGGTCCTCTGTTTTCCGGCGACGAACTGGGGTGAAACTGATTCAGCCAAACTGAGGAAAAAACTGGCTGAACGTCAGTTGAATTAAATAAACTCAGCGGTTTCTAACGCGCCTCATACAACTTCTGTTCTGCCAGGGTCCGCATCTGGGGGGCGCCGGCCTCCCGGCACAGGGCCCATGCAACAGGACGGGCAAATCACCAGTTGGGGTCTGGGGTCCAGCACCGTGGTGGGCCACGCGGGAACGGCCGCCCCTCAGCCGCCCTGGTGCTGCTGGCCGCCGGGCGCCCTCCCCCAGGACACCGCGGGCCACATGTGCACCACGTCTGCTAGGCCCGGCTTCCTGGCAGAGACGGCCCACCAGAAAGGCAGACGCACAGAGACAACGCTCAGCAGAAGATTCCAGAAACACTGGACTCCCCAAAGTGAAACGGGGACGTGCTCTCCACCACGCACCTAGTGGGGCCGCACAGGCAGGCGGGGACCACCCAGCTCTGCAGCGCACAACCGCAAACACGGGTGGCAGCCAGTGTGGAAGGGCAGCCCAGGGCAGCTGGGTGCAGACCTTGGATCCCTCAGCCACCAGCTCCTGGAGCACCGGCCAGCAGGAGCACAGACGTGCCCCCAAGAGAGCCACAGTGTTCAGGGCGCTTCAGAACACCCAGGAAAGGGAGAACAGGTCGGCTGTCCAGCAGGAAAGCGGCCAAGGACACGTGGACCCATGCACTGGACCCTTCCCAGACCGAAGGCCAGAGTAAGTGGGTCCCATGACCATCACCCTGGCACCGTCTCGGGACTAGCCGCTCGCATGGCATCACTCCCGCCCCGGGCAGAACTGGGAACTGCCTCCACCTGCATCCTGGGAGTAGGATGCACCTGTCCCGTCCCAAGAGCAGCATCAGGGGTACCCCGACACCCCTCCCCCTGCCCCGGGGCCTATCCCGAGACGCCCTGGTCGGGGCCTCGTGTGGCCTGTGCAGACACGTGGCGGGACCGGAAAGGGGGGGTGGCGTCAGGCTCTCCGGGCACTGGCGAAGGGCCCTTCTGGCCGCAGAGCCACGGCAACGCCAAGAACCCACAGTGACGTGGCTTGGGAGGGGCAGTACCCAGGCGAGGGGCCTTGTCCACGTGCTCACCACCCGACAGAGCTGCCCCGGAAGTCTGACAAGGCACCACAGGCGAACGCGCCTCAGGCCCCAACAGGGACGCAGGCCGGCTCGTCCCTGGACCTGCGCACCGCGACAGTGCCACCAGCACGCTTCCCAGCCCCACACAGGGCCCGGACGGCTCTCACCCGGAGCTCTGAGGCCCATCAAGGCAGCGGGGCTGGCCCCGCCCCTGCCCAAAGGCTCCTGCCCCGCACAGGACAGCCAGGCCGCCCCTCGCCCTGGCCAGTGGCATGGACGGTGCAGAGACCAGTGCCACCCGCCCCGCCCAAGCTGGGAGGGGCCGGCAGCCAAGCCGGGAGGGGCCCGCGAGAAGGGGCAGCCCGCAGATTCCCCAGGGAGGGCACGGCGGACTTGAGGGGCAGAGGCGCTGTGACCTCCCAGCCTCCAGCTCTGAGTCACGTGCCCCCTCCCCTCCCCGTGTGCCCGACAGCCTCCCACCCGCCTGCCCCCACAGACACCTCAGAAGACCCGGACCCGTGGGCCCAGCACCGTGGCCACCGGCCCCCAGAGTGGTCACAGCAGCCGTGGGCCGGCAGGCCAGGCGGCAGCTCAAAGGCCTGGGAGTCGCCCGCAGGAAGCCTCACCTGGGCCTGCGCCGCATCGCCTTTGTCCTGCATAAACACGATCGGGGGCACGTTCCTGAGGATTTGCAGAGACGCCAGGAGGTGCCTAGGAAGGGCCGACGACACAGCTCGGGACACCAGGCCAGACTGCGCAGCCCCCACCCCACGCCAGCAGGTGAAGCAGCCGGCTGGGCACCAGCTCCGCCCCCGGCCTTCGGAAAGGCCGCTGGCTGTGGAAGGCTGGCCACCCCCAAGGTGCCCTCAGGGCGGCCCCCTCCTCCAGGACCCGTGGGCTCAGGGCAGGAGGCCTGAAGTGCCCTTGAATTCTGACTTTCACCCAAAATCGTGAGCCGCGTCAGGGACGGCAAGTGTGAGCAGGCGTCTTCTCTGAAGCGACTGGCTCTGTCTGCTTTTGCGGCAGCCGCAGGCCCACGCTGGAGTCATCGGCAGCGCAGCCTCTCCTGGCGCGCATCCCGCCTGCGCCCCCGGCCCAGGGACACAGCACCCAGGGTCGGAGCAGGCACACGTGCGCCCCCGGATGGTATGGGCGAGCGAGGGGCGGAGGCTGCGGGGGACACTCCCCCCGCCCAGGCGGGGAGGGGCGTGTGGCAGGACATGAGGTGGCTTTACCTGGGTCCTTGTGCAGGACCTCAGGAGCCCTGAGGCAGGGTCTCACTGACCCGCCAGGCCGGGCTGCTGGCACGAGAGCACAAGTCACGCCGGGAAAGGCCAGGGGACGCCGCCAGGCCTGTCCTTCAGAGAGGGCGGGAAGGGCACAGCAGGAAGCTCGGGGCACAGCGTGGGCTCACCTTAGCTGCGGCGCGCTCCTCTGCAGGGCAGCCCCGGTGCTGGCGTGGTGCTCGGCGGGGCGGGCGCTCCTCCAGTACACACGGCAGGCCGAGAAGTCTGCGGCCAGGGAGACCTGGGGGCCAGTCTGTCATCTCAGCCTCAGGGTCACCGTGGGCCCAGCTGTCTCCAGCGCCCCCCCCCCCCCCGGGGCAAGGGGAAGGGCCAGCTCCGTCCTCAGAGGCCCACGACCCGATCTAGCATCCTGGCCCTCGTGGCACAGCCCCCACGACCCCACCAGCCCGGAAGCAGGCCCACCTTGGAGAGCACCACGTCCCCGTCGCAGAGCTGCGGGTTCACGCCTGGGGTGCACAGCAGCTCGGCCAGCGCCTTGTGCAGGAGGCCGTTCAGGGCCCTCAGGCGCACGTGGTCACCCCTCCTGGTTTTCCGGGGGGAGCCTTGGGGCAGGGCCGACAGCGGGGGCGGGGCGGGCGTCTGCAGGGGAGGTGGGCGGCGTCAGGCCAACACTCCCTGCCTGGTGCTCCCCACCAGCGTGGCCCCAGCCCGCTCTCCACCACCTCCACTCCCAGACCCTTCTAGGCCTCGCCCAGCACCCCTCGAAGGCTGGATGTGGTGCCAGGGAGTGGTGCTTCCCAAAGGAAGCTTTTGGGTGCCCTTACAGTGTGGCCCCGCTGTTCTGGGTGCCAGCACAGTCACAGCCTCCGAGCAGCGCCCAGGCCAGGCCCGGCCTGCCTCGCAGAGCTTGGGCACAGGCTCTCGCTGGGTCAGACCCATGCTGCGCCACCCCACCCCCCGCCATCTCAGGCGCACCCGTCTATGTGCAGATGGGGGGGCAACCGTGCCTCAGGCTGGCCAAAACAGGCCAAAGCAGCGCCTCACCGCCCGGCACTCACCAAGTGGGCGCCCAAGGAAGGGCCTTCGTACCAAAACTTTTTTCTGTGGGGAGGAAATAAAGCCAGGTTGGCTGCTAGTAGCAACTTAAAGAAAAAAAGTTACACAAGTCCCGTGACCGTGTCTGAGAGACTACCCTTCGGAAGTCCGTCACCGGGGACGTGAGACGTGCCGCTGACAGCAGGGGTCTTGAGGGGATGAAAAGTCGGCTTTGACTCAGGCTCAATTTTTAACTAAAGTCCCTTTCTCACGCCAGAGGCAGAAAGAGGATTTTGAAAATACACCTGCTGAAGCACCGCTCTGCAGACGCTGCTGCGCCTGAGGGCCTGAGCCCCGCACCCCTGCAGGTAGGGCAGGGGTGGGCAGGGCGGGGCCTGCACAGACCGGGCGGTGCCAGGGGTGGAGGGAAAGGCAGCGCGACTGTTGGACCCAACCCGGTTTCCCCTCACAGGTGGGGACGTTCAGAAGCATTTGGAGGCCCAGAAGCATTTGGAGGCCCAGAAGCATTTGGAGGCTCAGAAGCACTTGGAGGCGAGCACATACACAGATCAGCGCATACGTGTATTTTTGCTTTTCCTCCTGAAAAGACCGAAAAGAAAAACACCCCGCAGTGATGAAAACACCCAGCTCCTGGTTCCCAGGCCTCTCCAGGAGGCGGCATCTACGCGCCCTTGAGACACGGCTGATGGAGGGAGGGGGCAGCTTGCAGCACCAAACTGGAAGTGCTAAAAAAAATACCCCCAAATGCAGAGCGCGGCGTGAGGGAAGGACGTGGCCAGGAGCCCAGCGCAGAGCTCCCAAGGCCAAAGCCGCGGCTGGCTGAGCAAAACACCTGGGCCGACCCCACCTGCAGACCTCAAGCTCCCATGGGAGGTGCACACCTCACAGCAGGACCCCGCCAGTGCGTGGACACGACTCCCCAACCCTTAAAGGTGGGGTGCACGTGGGGACTGTCCCCCCAAGAAGACAGCACGGAAGGGGGGTCACGCACAGGGGATGAGCCTCACCCCGCGATGCCCCGAGCCCTGGAGATGCATCAAGGAGCCTCTGAGGTCCTTCGCCCCCAAACCTCAACCCTGTGCCCGGGGCACGGGCCAGCGGACGAGGGGTCACGGACACCGGCTGTCAGCTGTCACAGGCGCGCACCCCGACATCAGCGGTCGGGCAGGGCAGAGGCGAGGCCGCGTGGAACCCCGCACCCCGGCTTCTGAGCACGGCGTTGCAGGGCGGCAGCAGCACAGGCGGCGCCGTCGGGGCGGCCGCGGCAGGGGCGGGCGCGCCCCACGGACACACGCGCCTCGCGGGGAGGCCGCGCTCGGCCCGCCGGGCTGGCAGGCGGCGGGCACGGCCGGCCAGGCGTCCCCCGCGTCCCCCGCGACACACACGGCCCGCGGGGAGCGCGAGCCACGGCGGCGCAGGCGCGGAGGCGGCCGGGCCGCGAGGGCAGCGCTGACCGCGGGAGCCCCCGGCCCCCGCGGCCCCAGGTCCCCGCGCCGCCGCGGCTCCCGCGGGAGGGCCCGGCCCGGCGCCCCCGCCCGCCCGCCCGGCGTACTTGGTCCTGGCGGCGAACTTCCCGAGCGGGCTCCGGGCGCCGGCGGCGGGCGAGGCGCGCAGGCCCCGCGCGCGGGCGGGGAGGGGCCCCGCGTGGCGGCCGCCGAGCCCCGCCGAGCCACGCGCGGGGCCCCCCGAGCGCGCGGGCCGCCGCCCACATGGCCGCGGCAGCGGAGCCGGCGACGCGTGCGGGGCGACGTGGGCGGCGTATGCGCGTGCGGCGTGACGTAGCCGAGCGACGTGCGTGCGGGCGACGCGAAGGGCAGGGGCGGCTGTGAGGGCGGGGCGACGCGCGCGCCGAACGGCCGGCTAGCGGGGCGGGGGGCGGGGGGCGGGGGGCGGGCGAGGCCGGCGTGACGCAGCCCCACGGCGCGGGGGCGGGGCGAGCGCGCGGGGGCGGGGCCGGCGGGGCGGGGCCGGCGGGGCGGAGCCGGAGGCGGGGCGGGGCGGAGACTGGCGGGGCGGGGGGCGCGCCGGCCGGAGGACGCTGGGCGGGGGGGGGCGGGGGGCGCGCGGGGCGGCGCGCGGGGACGGCGCGCGGGCGGAGACTGGCGGGGCGGGGGGGGGGCGCGCGGGGCGGGGGGCGCGCGGGCGGGGGGCGCGCGGGGCGGGGGGGCGCGCGGGGCGGGGGGGCGCGGGGCGGGGGGCGCGCGGGGGGGGGGCGGGGGCGGCGCGCGGGCGGAGACTGGCGGGGCGCGGGGCGCGCGCGGGGCGGGGGGGGCGCGGGGCGGAGACTGGCGGGGCGGGGCGCGCGGGGGCGGGGGCGCGCGGGGCGGGGGGGGCGCGCGGGGCGGGGGGCGCGCGGGGCGGGGGGGGCGCGCGGGGCGGGGGCGCGCGGGCGGGGGCGCGGGCGGGGGCGGCGCGCGGGGCGGGGGGGGCGCGCGGGGCGGGGGGGGCGCGGGGCGGAGACTGGCGGGCGCGGGGCGGGGGGGGGGCGCGCGGGGCGGGGGGGGCGCGCGGGGCGGGACTGGCGGGGCGCGGGGCGGGGACGCGGGGGCGGGGGGGGCGCGCGGGCGGGGGCGCGCGCGGGGCGGGGGGCGCGGGGGCGGGGCGGGCGCGGGGCGCGCGCGGGGCGCGGGGCGGAGACTGGCGGGGCGCGGGGCGCGCGCGGGGCGGGGGGCGCGGGGGGCGCGCGCGGGGCGGGGGGGCGCGCGCGGGGGGCGCGCGGGGCGGGGGGGGGCGCGCGGGGGGGGGGGGCGCGCGGGGCGGGGGGGGGCGCGGGGGGCGGGGGGGGGCGCGCGGGGCGGGGGGCGCGGGGCGGGGGGGGGGGGGGGGGGGGGGGGCGCGCGGGGGGGCGGGGGGGGCGCGCGGGCGGGGGGGCGCGCGTGCGTCGGTGCTGCGCGGGCGGCGCTCGGCGGGTCGGCCTCGGAGGAGCGCGCGGGGGGCGCGAGGAGCGCGGGGCCCGGCGGGGCGCGGCGGGCTCGGCTCCCCCGGGTGGCCGCGCACAGCGCTCGGGCGTCCGCGAGGCCCTGAGGGGCAGCGGCGCGGGGCGCGGAGCTGGCGGGCGCCCTCGCGCGGGTCTCCTCAGGGCCCCCGGGGCTCCCCGGCGCTGCCTCCGGGGGGGCGGGAAGGGGCCGGGCCCATCCTGCCGCCCCTCCGCGGGCGCGAGCGTCTCAGACGGGGCGGGCCCTGCACCCCGAGCTAGCGCGGGCTCCGCGGGGGCGCCCCAAGCGCCCTCCGCCCGGGCGTGGCTGCCGCCGCGGCCGCCTGGCTCGGGCCGCCCTGCGGGGAGCCCGCGCCGCCCGGCCCCTCCGCGGCGCCCCCGCCAGCGCCCTCCCCTGGGTGCTGGGCTTCCTGCGTGGCTCTGGCGGAGGCACCGCAGCCCCTCAGGTCCGGCAGGCCCGGAAATCCCACCCCTGCCCGGCGCCCCTTCCCCGGGAGTCCCAGGAGCCGGTTCCCCCAGGAGGCGGCGGTGTGGCCGCGGCACTCGGCCAAGTCCAGCTTTGGGGGCTGCGAGCCAGGCCAGCGGGTGGGCCGGCATGTCCGGAGACAGATTTTGCGGATCGGAGCTGAATGGCCAGGTCGGCTTTGAGTCCTGAGCCTCAGCTCTGCGAGAAGCAACGCGCTTAGCGGGCGCTGGGGCGCACGTCCTCGCCAGTCTGTGCACACAGCAGCTCCCACACACTCAAGACTGGCGGGACGGTGTCCCCACGCTGGCCAGGCTGCAGCCTGCTGACGCCCCAGCGCACGCGGGGGGCAGCGGCATTCGTGCGGGAGGGAGAGGCCCCAACACAAGCCAGGATGCTTTCCACCAGGCTCTGCATCATCTGCCACTGGGCCTGGGGTGCCAGGCTGCCGATGTGAGGGGTCGGGGTGACACTCTCCAGCCCCAGCAAGGGCGGCGGTGGGCAGGGCTCAGGAGTTACTGACCCCTGCTCCGGCGCGCTGCCCTGGAGTCTGAGCTGGTGGTAGTCCAGCTCTGTCGGCGCAGAGGGATGGATGGCTGCCCCAGGGCTGCTGCTGCCCGCGGGGCCCCACCTGCTCAGCTGGCTAGCGGCCTCCCCACAGATGCAGGGGGTCTCAGCCAGGCACCCCCACGAGGCAGGAGGCCCAGCCTCTCCACCGACTCAGCCGCGCTCACCAGGTCCTGCGAGGGCAGACAGATGCCACAGCGCAGAGGCCTGGGGGCCTGCTTGGGCCCCCGTGGGCATGAGGCCGAGAACCCCCACACAGGCTGCAGGCGGACTGCGCTCTCCCCTCTGCTCCTATCACCTGGCGGGGCGTCCTCCTGCTCCACACAGGTCCTCAGCACTCATCTGCTCGCCACTTGGAGGGGTGATGCGAGAAATGCGTCAGGGCCAGGTGCACTCCCCAGCCAGGACTGCAGACGCGCTGGCCTTCCTCCGGGGACTGACTGGCCCCCGCGCCCCTCACTCTGCACCACTCCCCAACCCGTGCTCCATGCCCCATGCCCCGCCCCCACCACGGCCTGTGCTCCATGCCCCGGGCTCCCCCTTGCAGTCCACGGCCATCTCCACACCGCTCACCACCCCAGGCACTGCTCCCCGCTCACCCCTACCCCGTACCACGCCTTGCGTCCCCTGCCCAGCCCGAGCCTCCAAAACCTGAAACTTGGGCCGGATGAAAGCCCCCGCACCCCCTCACGGCTGGGCTTGCCCTGGCCACTCTCCCCCACCCCAGCTCGGCCCCCCCCAACACCCCCAAGACCCCTCTCGCAGGGGAAATCTAGCTCCGGGGGCACGGGGCCACCCCTGGGTCCAGCTGGGGAGCCCCTGCACGCACCCCCCGCAGGCAGGCACATTGCTGGAGGGTGTGGCGAGAGCGGGCACGGTGCCCGCCCGCCGCCTGGGCCTTGTCTGCGCGAGACCTGGTGTTCCCCGGAGCAGCGGGCCCGCGTGCGTGTCCTTCTGGGATCCAGATTCGCAGTTGCATAACTTGGCCAGGGTCCAGCTTGAGAGGGAAGAGCGAGAGCCGGCGCATGTGGTGCTTCTCACTCCGCAGCGAGTGTTGCTCTAATTGCCTCGCTGTCTCGCTTCCCGGCCCCGCGGCCGGGCCGGGCCTCAATCACGGCCGCTGCCTGTGCCACAAGCTGTGGGATCTTGTTATTTTTGGTTCTGGTAATCTCCGGCTGTAGGCGTTGAGGGATGGGGAATTTTCCAGTCATCCTGCAGCAATAGCGGAGGACAGGGATGGGCACAGGCCCTGCCTGCCAGGCTCGGCACACAGGGCTCAGCCCGCTGCTCCCCGGAGACACCGGATAGCGCAGGTGGCCAGCGCTGCCCCAGCCAGCAGGCACCCTCGGGTGTGGCCTTGCAGACCCCAGCTGGAGGGGAGGCAGGACAGGGCAGTGCTCCCAGTCCCTCAAGTAAAACATTTTCCTCCTGGACACACTGACCGCCTGGTTCCTCTGCGCAGACACACCTGCACACCTGGCCCCATGAGAGCAGAAGCTCTTCATGACAGGTGCCCTTTGCATGGCCAGCACCTGGTACAGACCTGGCAATTACACTGAGGCGGTAATTAAGGAACATTCTGCAACAAGGGAAGTCAGCATGGGCCTCCCCGGTGGCACAGCGGGTGAGCGCTGGGTTGCGAAGCTGCCCGCGGCCTCTGCGGCGCCGGTTCTATCCCCGGCTGCTCCCCGGCCACCCGGAGGAGGGTCCCACATGGTGCTCAGACCCCTCCTGCCGCCCGCTGCTCCCCTCAGCAGTGTCCTTCGGTCCTTCTGCCTGCTCTGCTCCCCGCTCTGACTCTGGTGAATTCTCTCACCTTCCCCCGCTTCTGACTGTACCCAGCGCATGTATAAACAAAACAAACAAACAAATTAAATAAATAAATAAATAAATAAAACATGCCTCTATTAAAAAAAAAAAGACTTTAAAAAAAAAAAAAAAAGAGAGAAGTCAGCACACTGTCAGAGCACACATGGGTGCCCGTGCGGCAGGCCCAACCCCCTTCTGGTCCGCTTCCCGGGGAGGCAGCTGAGTGGCTGCAAGGGGGCTGGACTGGGCTGCTGAGGCACTGCTCCCTACTTTGGAGCAGGTACTGAGGCCCAGGCTGTCCCGGCCCAGCCCCACAGCCGGAGGAGCGCGCAGCAGGCCTGGCAAGTGCGCCTCTCAGCTGGACCGCGCCCCCATCAGAGGGGGCAGGGCGCAGCCCTGATGGGCTCCTGTTTTTAGCTCCTGCCAAGGTTAGGGACTGGGCAGCAGCGGACTCAGCAAGGCTCCTCCGGCTCAGGCCAGCATGCTCCCGTGCAGCAGGCAGTCCAGGCACTCCTGGCCCCTTAGCTGAATGGCCAGAGCAGGGCCAGGAGTCTACGCCCTGCCGGCCGCATGGAGGCTCTGTCCCTGCTCCAGACAGTGGGTTCCCATGTCAGTCCAGCAGAATCGGGGCACCATCCTGGCCCCAGCATTGACTGGGGGAGGGGGCTACACCTGCCCTGACCCCTGGCAGCTTCTGGAGAACGGGGTGCGGCAGGGTTGCCAATGGACATGCCACCACTCAGCCCCAGGGCTCCCGGCCTGCCCGGCTCCCCGGGCCCATGCCTGGCCCACCATCGTGCCGAGGTCAGGCCTCTGGACCCAGCCAGACCAGCCAGGCGGGGGCACAGAGCAGCTCGGAGACTGGGTCGGGAGGTGGGAAGGGCAGGCCGCCCTGACCCCTGGCTGCATCAGTGGGGGGCGGGGGGACCACTATAAATATAAAGCCAGCACGGGAGCTGGTGGTAAGGGGCCCCGGGGCCACATTTTCTTCCTTCTTCCTTCTAATGTGAGGCCTCTGACAAATGTGCGACTTTATTTTTAACTTTAAGTGGCCCCTGGTTCTACCTTAGAAATAGTGTTTTACATTCTTACTGTTTCCTGGACTTCCTGGGATAAACCCTCCCTTGGTGACCCGGGGCGCGACCAGCCTCTCAGCACCGGAGTGGCAGGGAGGAGCAACACCTCTGTCCCGGATGGTGGGGACCCACTTGGGGCCATGGGCGCCTGCGCCAGGCGCTGTCCACTGTCCACAGAACAGCTGGACACGGGGTTGCTGCTCTTTCTCAAAACGGCAAAGCCAGCATGAGAATTTCACTTTCATCCAATGTCTCTGGATGAGACTTTGCTCTTGCTCGCTCCTGCGGCCTCACTCAGCTGGGGCAGCCCCCCCTGAGCTCACCAGCTCGTGTTTTCTCACTTCATCGTGGGCCCTTAGGAAGAAGGCTGGTGGACACTCAGAGAGCAGGCAAAGAGGGCCCGGACTCCTCCTTCAGACAGGACCAGCGGGCAGGGAGGCTGTAAGGGGTTCACAGGTGCTGGCGAGGAGGCAGAAACGCTTCAGCTCAGCCTTGCGTTCGCCCCTTGTAGGGCGTGGTTCCGATGTCGGGCAGGGCCAGGGCCCGGACAGGGGGCTGGGCAGCCAGGGGGAAGCCAGCGGGGCTGCGGACACCCAGATGGGGCCTGGAAAGGCCCGATGGGCGAGGGGCACAGCCGGCTGCTGGTGCTGCCTGGCCCGTCCACGGCCTCACCCTGCTGTGGCCTCCTGCTAGAGCCCTGGGCACCTCACGTCCAGTGGGGCTGAGAACCCCGGGCTTCTCCTGCTCAGCCAGCACAGCCTCTGGGCTTTGAGGGGGGGGTGGAGCCTTCTCTTTGTGGGTCTCCTTCCCACTCCTATGCCCAGCCTGGGCCCGAGCGCCTGTCCCGGGCTGCAGAGGGGAGTTGGAGGAAGGCTTTCAAGACAGTGATGCCTGCCCAGCTGGGGCCTGGCTGCTCGACCTTCGTGGGGCGATGTGGGGGTCACAGTGGCCCTGACACACAAGTGGCCCAGAACCCCACCGCCTTCGGGAGACAAGAGAACTATCCTGCTCAGCCGCCATGACACCATGCCAGGTAGTTCCAGGAACAGCCAACCCCATCCCTACCTGACTGCGTAGGCGGCGCAACTCCGTTGCTCCGCCAAGGCAAGCTCCCCAGAAGCGCGCCCCAGAGCTGACCAGACGCCCCAAGCAGTGGACAGGCCTCCTGCACCGACTGCGCAGCCGGAGACTCGCCAGCCAGGCCCTTCCTGAAGCCCTGTCTTCCCTGCAGCACCTCCCCCTCCCAGGGGCTGAGGCCCCACCCACTACCAAGGGCTGGAGCTGGCTCTGCTGCGCTGCCACGCGGGGGCTCCCACCGGGGCCAGCAGACAGGTGGGCTGCCACTCAGTGAGGATTTGGGGAGACACAGGCAGCTCAGGGAGCCCCACGGCTCAGCCCACCCTGCAGTGTGTGTGAGGCCCCCCAGGCACCCGGGAGGGCGAGGGCCGCTCTGCAGAGGGAGGACAGCAGGGAGACAACGCCTTGCTGGGCAGGCCTCTGTGGTCCCCAGAACCAAAACTCTGGGTGAGCAGTTGGGGTGTCTGGGGTCTCCCTCCATCGAAAGAGAATGGGGCTATAGCATCTTGTTTTGAAAAGCAGCCAAGAAGTCCACGGAAGCTGTTAAAGATCCCGGGACCCCCTCTGGGAAAGGCCAGCAAAGAAAGTGGGTGTGATACCCAGCA